TAGTCCTGTTTTCCTTCTTACGATACTTGTTCGAGGGGAGAAAGCTTGCTTCAACAAACTCTTCCGCTGATGAAATGAGCCATTTCTGTAGCAACTCATCCTATTTTGTTGTCTCTTTGTGGTCAACTATGAAATCTAGTTCTTTCCTCTCCCTTATGCCATTGTTTTAGTACTACACTAACTACAAAATGAAAACATTCGACGAAAACGGTACTGCTCACGCTACCGAATACTCGGCAAACTTCCTCAACTATCTCGCCATCGCCTCTCAATTTCCTAACCTTCTTCTCAATTTTATTAATATCTTCGTAACTGTGAAGTAAGTCGGACATCTTTGATTTCTCTTTTTGCATTCGACATATATTGTTTGAGGGGCGACTTAACAAAACGGATTTCGCTTTCTCTGTTGATCGTTGGTGCCATGATTATCTTCACGATGAGCTTCGTCTACGTTGACACATGGTCATGTGAGTGTGCAAAACTATCATACCGTGTTTAGCCTTATTTTATGGAAGATGGATGATTCTGCTCTACTACAGCCTTTTTTTAGGGATGGGCGGCTTTTTTGTTATCACTCTTCTTTCTATAGTTCTTCTCAATGGAGCTAATGGAATTTACCAGAACAGGTTTGTTGCTAGAAAAAAATCTTCCGCAACCAATAAGTTTCCAAATAGAATGTAGAGCCTAGTATAATGTCATGAAGCTTACAACCTAGCAAAGCATACGCCATACTTAGTCCACTTGATCCGCTGGGTCCTCTTCATCCGCTATTGGTCATATTAGTGAACTGACCAATACCGAAGAGGATGAAGTGGACCAGGTGGACATCCGAGTCGCTATTGGTCACTTCACTGTTTTGACCAATCAGCTATAACGTTCATGTGGATTAAGTGTAGCCTGTACCTAAGGGACATTACACCATGTATCGAACAGGAATTTTATATAGGGATAAAATCCTATGCACCAGCATTATGCCAATCTGATCGTCTGTCTTTTCGTTATGACAAGCCTCAAATTTTTTTTCAGCATATTTGGTCTTGCATCAGATTTCCCCTTCAAATTTACTAACGCTGTGATTATTGGCAACAATCTTTGTGGAACTTTCGTTACCGTAGTCAGCATCATCACTGCTTTGGGTAGATCTTACTTTCGCTACATTTAGCCATTCTGTAAGTAATTTTGTTTTAGTGTCGAAGAATACTGCAAATGCAGCTTTCGCTTACTTTGGGATCTCATTGTTTACCCTTGCCATCTGTTTCGCCTCATTCTTCGTTCTTA